TACCATATAAGTTGTGTAGTAATTAGCGAATTTGTGATTCGGGTTACCATCTCCGATACCGGAGTACATGCCATTTAGAACCACACGAATTGCCGGAACGGACGTCCCGTACGTGGAAACGAGCATCAACCATAGAGGTTACATGTTGAAATGTTGAAGCTGTTGTCATATGTGTACTGCTTCATATTTTCTCTTGGTTCACTGGGTAAGTTATTGGTATATTTGTTTGTGTTAAAGCTAATGAAGAAACGCTGACTTGCCTCTTATCATTCATGTTCCCGCAATACGGCGACCCCGTGTTCAGCAACCCATGCTTGTCGTAAGAGGCGTCTAACGGGATCGGGTGGTCAGACTCCCTGACTTGGTTAATGCCGGTGAGCGTATCCCAATTGCGTGGATCGATACTCATGATGTCAATCATGAATCGACTATTTCTAGACGGGCGTCATAAAGCGGGAATATAGCTGAGCTCGGCGTTTAACAACAAATCACACAATCTCACAGCGGGCTGTAAATAATTGTTTGACCATAAAACCGCTTTTTTATTTATTAGCAACGATTCACTCACTCGACTTACACAGTCACCATTGTGTCCATCGGATCCTCATTTTAGTCACCATGGCAATTAACACTGATGCACAACTGTAACCCCTTTATGATTAATTGTCAACCACATATTTAAAAAGGTGATTCAATACTGTGGCATACTTCATCTGGATGTGGGGGCACGGGTGGCCCAGTCGTCTAAGGCGCCAAGCCGCTGTGCAGAGTTGCGTCCCTTGGGCACGTCAGAAACCTATGATTGTGGATTCGAATCCCGGTTCGCCCCGATTATGTTTCTAGTTTTGTCGGCACCATACCCGTGCTCGTGGGTTTCATCGAAGTGGTAAACGTCTGAGACCTGCATCACTTCGGGCTTTCCTCCCACATGAAGCTAACATGCCGTGATATGACTGGAATACTGTTAAAAGCGGCGTTAAACCCAACTCACTCACTCACTCACTCACTCACTCACTCACTCACTCACTCATCTGTCCCCGATTCAAATCACAGTGGAAAACACGAAAGCGACAAGTGATCAGGGAAAATATATAATAGAACTTGAGACATTTACAAACCCCATGTGGACCCGTATACTAATACCGACAAAACAGTGAAGCCATTGCACTATTCCTGGTGCACCGCTTTTAGTTTTGCCTCACGTTTATGATGTCTTATGATGACTTGTGGAGGACGTTCCCATATCTGACGCAGCTTTAGCTTTTGTTGTCTGTGTTTCACAACTTTTGAGGTACGAACGAACGGCTCTTTGTACAAAGATGTAAAAGGGTCCATACGAGGTTACATCATTCAGGTGAGGTGAAATGGGGTTTAACGTCGCGTCCAAGATTATTGCACTTATAAAGCGACGTGCATGCACGTGTGTGTGTGTGTGTGGCTGCTTGTTCCAGTCCGGACTGATGCCGATTTATAGTGCTAGCTCACTGAGATACCATGCGGCAGTTTAACTTGAATAACCCACTCAGACTCAGTATACTGACACCGAGCCGACCAGTCCTTGTTTAGCCCCTTAATGCCGAGCTCCAGACAGGGTAACAACAAGTACCATCTTTTAACGTCTTTTGGTATGACGCGGTCGGGGATGGAACCCCGGACCTTCCGCTCTCCGGGCGGACGCTCTACCACTAGAACACGGAGGCGGTCAGGTTACATCATTCAAGGCATCAGTGGAGCATGTGGAGGGACATTTCCAAATATGACATATCAGTGACAAAACTTATGTCCGATTTTGACGTGTCTCATAAATTTATGTCCTAATTTGACGTGTCCTATAAGTTCCTGTGTTCTTTGTCAGGTGAACAATTGACTTGCCTTTGCATGTGTTTGTGACGGTTACTACCGGAGGGTTTAGATAAGGTCAACCATTCGCGGACACCTGGTATCATCACATTTATAATGATCCACAAACACATACTTATTGTTATACCTCTGTTAAGAATCTTGCAACTCCATTGGTTAATCCGTACCACGTGACGAAACAATACATTTCGATGTAGACCCCGAAACCATGTTAACTGACACTGTCCTCGAATAGAGACTCGTCACATGATCAGCATTGACCTGTCACGTGATGAATATTGAATCGTCTGCTAGGAAACAAGATGGCGTCTGGTAAGAACATTTCACTGTTCGCAGCAAAGTTACTGTAATTTTAAAATGAATTTCGGTATAAGAAAATGAATAATTAGTTCTCTTGGCGATATCAATATGCGAAAACAAGGACCCGAAAACCCGACCCTTGAGGTGGTCTGACCGGACCGAGGCCGCAGGGTCGGGTCCGAGGGTCCCTGTTTTCAAAAACTGACCTCGTCAAGAGCAATTATTTGTATATATGATATAGTCATAATCGTACAATGGACGCCGCATTTATTATGATTTTATTTTGCCTTATAATTATGGAAAGGGTGTTGTAGCTTATATTCAAAGTGGCCTCAATGAGGCCAAAGATGTCAGACCTGCTCTATACACAAGGTTATTAACAGAAATAACCTAGTCATGCACGTTTGTCGAAAGGCAAACTTGGCCAAGACCTTCATGACTTGGTGTATTTCTGGATGCTACACCTACAGTATGAAACAGCGTTCAGGTTTCCCTGTATAATCACCAAATCAGTCTTCTGATCTCCACAAATATCGCCCCACACCATGACACCTCCCCCGCCGAATGGATGGACCTCTCGAATACACGCCGGAGCCAAACGTTCCCCTCTGCGTCTATAAACTCGTTCTCTGCCATCATTTCGAAACAAGTTAAACCGACTTTCATCAGTAAACAGCACTCGACGCCAATTTCTCACTTGCCAGCGTCGAACCTGCCTCGCCCATCGCAGTCTCAGGCGTCGATGTTGAGCAGTCAGTACCATTCCTCGGAAAGGACTATACGCTCGGATTCCAGCAGCACGAAGTCGTCGTAGTACTATACGTTGGCTAATTGGATGTCCCAACGCTGTTGCTACCGTCGCCGTCGGCGTTACGAATCTGTTTCGCAGGTGAATGAGCCGTATCAGACCGTCCTCCAGTGGTGTCGTCACTCGGGGTCGTCCGGTTCTAGGCCTGTCCTGTGTCCTCCCTGTCTGCCTGTACCGTTGAATCAGCCTGGCTACTGTCAATGGTGTACAACCAAACCTTCTGGCAATTTGGACCTGTGTTGCCCCCATTTCGGCCATGCCGATGGCGTTCTCTCTCTGCTCCTTAGGCAGTCGTGGCATTTCTTTTCTGTGCTTTCATCACGTATGGTTATACCCTGCAGACGAACGCATTATACAGCTAACACGCACGTGCAGTTTATGCCATTGGCGGGAAACCTGTTTCACCATTTTTTTGTCACCGCACGAGCGCCGTCAAAGGTGGCGCGTTCGGGTGAGGTGTTTTACCAGTTCCTGGGCAGTCATATTCCCAATACCCACTTTCCACTAGTTATCGCTGTTTTTAGGAAAATTACAAATTGCCAACCCATACTTTCTTTTGCCGCTTAGTTGATGTGTTAACGTTTGCCAATTTGCTTTTACAGCAAAGCATCAGAAATGTTAACTATGTTACAGCGGAATCCAGAGGGAGCATCCATACAGGCAACGAAGGATGCTTGAACGAAGGTGAAGCTTCTCCAGAATGTAAGTTACATTGAGATGCTATTATTTATTCACCATGAAGAAATTACATGCAAGTTTTACTGTTAATGATATAAGTGGTTGGAGCTTTGGGCTGCATAAATATTTTTCTGGAGTATTTTTGTTCTTGTTTTCTAAACAGATATCCTTTAAAAAAATGTAGCTCTAAATGAAACTTTTTGTAATTGAATTGTTGGTAATACAGATTCTTTATAGATCAAACAGCTCGTAACAGATTTATAAATATAAACATTTATATATATCACAATAATCACGTTGTACTGTCTTTCATTACCTAACGGGTCCCTCTCTCTCTCTCTCTCTCTCTCTCTCTCTCTCTCTCTCTCTCTCTCTCTTCTCTCTCTCTCTCTCTTTCTCTCTCTCTCTCCTCTCTCTCTCTCTCTCTCCTAACAACACATTACAGAGATTACTCCTTAGGATCGGATGTCGGTCATGCATACCACAAGTGTCATGTAATGCGTTTTGTCACTCCACTCTACGCTGTAAACTTGACGTCACACCGATTACTTTTGATTAGATTAAATTACGTTTAGAGTCAGACACTGAATTTAGTTTAACACTTCTTTAAACAATAGCTCAGTTAGATCGTCAGCTTAAATGTGTCAGGGACGTCCGAAGTGATTTCTTAAGTGTAACCCGAGGGAACGGATGTGGTCTTGACATGCCTAGAAACACAATCAGGGTGAATCTGAATGATCTCACCTCGATAATATTCGCCTCGTACTCCTAGGGGACGCAACTCTGCACAACGAATTCCGGCGCTTCAGTGCTTCCAATTCTTTATAAGTGAGAGAGTGAGTATGGTTTTACGCCGCTTTTAGCAATATTCCAGCAATATCACGGCGGGGGGCACCGGAAATAGGCTTCACACATTGTACCAATGTCGGGAATCGAACCCGGGTCTTCGGCGTGACGAGCGAACGCTTTAACCACTAGGCTACCCGACCGCCCCTCCAATTCTTTATAAGGAATTGTGACATGTCGTATATCTGCTTTGTCTACGAAACATAATTTTCTTGCTCAGTAGTCTTCCCCTAAGCGTTTCCCATCCTCTGATCATGCGTTATCGTGGTACTGATGAAAAAGTACCGTTATGTATTTTTTAATATTTCTTTTCACTTTGCTTGTCACAAATGTAAATCCCTTTTTTTGCTTGCAGTGTTCTATTACCACCTGAGCAGGTACCATCCAGTACGATAAACAAAATCAGAAATTGTTTCTCTGTATGTCGCTGACAATTGCTACATCGTTTTGGTTTTAAAAAAAGGTACAATATAATGTAGGTCGCAATTTCAGATTTCGATGTGTGCAGCACCGCTTCGTGTGAGAAGTTTCATACCTGCGTACGATTGGATGACGGTGCACACGCCTGTTTCTGTGACGCCGATATGTACTCATTTTTGTGTGGAGGTAAGATTAAGAGGGAGTGAAAGAGAGAGAGAGAGAGAGAGAGAGAGAGAGAGAGAGAGAGAGAGAGAGAGAGAGAGAGAGAGAGAGGGAGAGAGAGAGAGAAGGAGAGAGAGAGAGAGGGAGAGAGAGAGAGGGAGGGAGAGAGAGAGAGAGAGAGAGAGGGAGAGAGAGAGAGAGAGAGAGAGAGAGGGAGAGAGAGAGAGAGAGAGAGGGAGAGAGAGAGAGAGAGAGGGAGGGAGAGAGAGAGAGAGAGAGAGAGAGAGAGGGAGATGCTGACATTGCTTTGACATTTGGAGAGTTAACCATGTCCACTGATGTCCCGGAGTGAGTTGTATGTACTGGCTGTTTGTCCTCAGAAGCCGACGAATGATGTCCGGGATTTAATAGTTGTGACCTAGTTGATAATGTGTCCTCGTGCTATCACTCATTTGTTTCCTTGCCAGGAATAATTACAGGATACATTGTTATTTAACCCAGTCTAATAAAAATAAGACATATATCACCCGGGTATTGTAAATAAACTGGTGTATGTATTTGAATAAACGCGACGCAACTTAGTTTCTGATCCACTGATCATGAACATCGATCAACGCAATTGGGACAGGATGACATAATATATTAATACCAAATCAGCGAGCCTGACTATCCGATCCATTGAGTCGTCACTCACAACAATCGGTTACTGGGGATCTGTAATCTTAACCGGATTCCCCAAAGGAGGAAACCATCTTACTCTAACGATTAAATGTACCTCAAATGTATGTACATGTTACTAGGATTTCACAGTGGCTCCCAATACATAATTATTGCAGATAACGTGAGGTTGTGTGATGCGACTGAATGTAACAATGCGGCCCAGTGTGTTGACGCCCCTGACGGATCAACTTTCTGTGCCTGTATCCCTGGAACCGAGGGAGAACAGTGTCAGTGTGAGTAGAGGGTATATGTCCAACAGGTTACACCTTTGCTATCAACCCGTAAGGACTCCATCTAAGAATAGGCCCTGCATCTCATGGATGTTGTCAGTCAATCACCAATTAATCTACTCATCAATCAGTTGTAGCAATCATGTATGCATTATTACATCACAGTAAGTAATATTCAAGTTAATTGTCGTCGGTGTCTGTAAACAATGGGTGACAAGGTAATTACCTATACGTGTCTCTGTGACGATTGACAGGATGCACGAAACCTTTAGCGAACACCTGGTATCTTCACTATTTGGCTGGGATTAATAAAAACATTTTCATGACACAGCCGGTCTTAAGATTATGGCAAGGGTTTTGTCGCTTTTGTGTGCAATTGTTATGATGACTAACGACGAAAGTCCAAGGGGGTGATGACAATGTGAGCCATGGCATGGGATGCTTGGTACTTATTCTGTCCAGGATTTACCACTAATAAAATATGTGACTCTGGGTTTTTCTATTGGGATTAAAATATTTTGACTTGTGTTTGTCCAGGGGAACATCTGACTTGCCCATACACGTTTTTGATAGTGATTCTCCCTAATAGTATAGACGGAATCGTACAATCGATTCTTCTTTTAGCTCAGATGGTTACGGAAAGGGTTTTGTCTCTTTCATCTGATCCACAGCCTGGTGCACTTATGCCTTCACGTTATAATTGGTGACATGTCTTAAGCTGTAATAAGGGTAATAATGTAGTAAATGGCTTTGATATCAAAACACAACGTTGAGCAGACAAACATTAAACGATCTGACCGATCCTCACGAGGTCTTCCAATAGAACTGACCCTGGTCCGTTATCAGAATGAACATATGTAGAGATTATTACACGAGCATGTATGTCATACTCTTTTGACGAAACCAAAGAGGGTCACCAATGAATTCTGACACGAGTTTCGTAAAATCGGTATGACACACATGCGAGTGTATGAATTTCTTTATTACCCACAATTTCTTAAATTATATCCTTTTCATCTCCCCTTTAGAAAAATGCATTGATCACGACCACCGTCTTTGAGTTGTCGAAGACGTCAACAATATTCATCACCAACGTCGTTTCTAGTGTAATGCCATTCTGACCTTACGTCACAATAAGATTTGAATGACGTCAACAATGCCGTCCGGATGACGTAATCAATACGCTGTTGAAGTGATTTTAGACCAGTGCTCACTTGATTTTTATGTCCTCGGTTGTTTCTAACTCTATGGGTAATAAGACTAATATGGCCTAGAATAACAGTGCCCTCCTTATGTTTCAGACTTTATATAGACTAATATGGCCCAGAAAAACAGTGTCATCCTCATGTTTCTGACATTATAAAGACTAATATGGCGGCCCGGAATAACGGTTTCATCCTCATGTTTCTGACATTATAAAGACTAATATGGCGGCCCAGAATAACGGATATCCTTATGTTTCAGACATTATTAAGGCTTATATGGCCCAGAATAACAGTGTCATCCTTATGTTTTAGACTTTATATAGACTAATGTGGCTAAGAATAACAGTATCTTTTTATGTTTCAGACTTCACAAGGAAGTTAGGTGGCGATATCTCTGGAATCCAAACTCGTGTAACTGACGGCCCATCACACCCCACTGTACCTTGGAGCCAGGATGTGTGCTGGAGGGTACACCATGGCCGGTCCATAGAGATCGACCTTGGACATAGCTATGCAGTCAACGTCGTCAAAGTCATTGTCTTCAGTGATATAGGTACGTCATACATTTAACACTTAGTAACAAGTTACCTTAAGAGAAGTTATATCAGCCCCATTCATTATAATTTGCATAATAGTTTAAGCGTTTAAGAAAGGGTGGGGGTTCAGTTGAAATACAAAAATGTTCGCACATAAATTCAGTAAACAATTTGATTTTGTAACTCCAAAATAGACAATTTTTTGTTGTCACCAAATGATTGATTTTATGATTTTTGTATGTATCAACATGATAAGTATGCTTCAAAAAGAGTTAACTGACTGTACAAGTCCAGTTTCCCCCCTTGCCGAACTAGGCTGGAAGTTCTGAGCTCGATCGTAGCGCTATTAAGAGTTACGTTCTTTCAATGTCCCTCCTCTTGACCAATCAGATTCCACCTCTCATATCACTTGCATTAGCTTTAAACAAAATTTCGGCGTCTAGTCAAGACGATCTAATCGATAGCAATCTATATTAAAATAAAATATGTCTTACTTCGCGAAGTGCATGAAATCATGTGACCACCTTGATTAAAAACATGAAAAAGATCTGGAATATATATGTTGTCGCTAAATTTACGGTACACATGCTTTGCAAATCCTGCAATCGAACGAAATCGGCACGGCAGTTTACGAACCGATTGTCAAGTTCGTTAACTCCACAATTACAAGATGTCGAATCCTAGATTCGACCTGATTATAATCCTAAATGTGTCAGCATGCTCGTGTGTTTCTCCGATGTGATAAACGTCTTTTAAGACCTTCATCACCTGGGCTTTAAGTCATCATTAGGCTGATATAACTGAGGTATTGTATTTCAAAGCGGCCTTAACCCAACTCACTCACTCACACCCGTCCCTATTATTTTTCAGCAAAACTTACTCTGCTGGCTACACTGGGCCCCGGGGACACTGGTGGTCACCTGTGTTACTCTGTCGGCGTTATTCTGTATGCGGACACTCACGCGTTCTCATGCGATGGGGTGGCCACGCGCTTCCTCCGCCTCGACGTCCAGAACATCATCTACAGCTCTTCATTGTTGATCTGTATCGGGGGTGTTGTGCGACAGGGGGCTAGAACAGGTACATGGATACAAAAGAAACTATGACGAATACATCTGAGCCCAATTTGTAAAGTTGGCAACATAAATGTGTCATTCACTTAATTCTTATACATTGAACGTCCATTAATCTGTGGATGGGAGATCAAGTTGTCTGAGGCCTGTATGTGCCGTGCTGTGCTGTGCTGTGCTACACTCGGGAGTCTTGCCAGGGTCCGCTTATTGTGGGTTCGAATCTCAGATTCGCCATGATTGGAAACTTTGGTTTGTCAACAGCATTCCAGTGATCCTGGGTTTCACCAAAGTTGTAAACTTCTCCCTCTTTCGTCATTTTAGACTTTACTCCAACATCAAGCTACCGCGCCGTGGTATAACTGAAATGTAGTTCAACGCGCGTTTGTATATGTTTCTCGAAATGTCCTTTCTTCAAGGTGTAATATTATTGTTATGTACCCAAATAGTTACGCACATGTAGATCCATGGTCAATTTCCATTCCTCTTATTGTCCCATAAAATGAAATAATCTCAAAGAAAATGTAGACCGAAGCTAACAAATTATGACGCACCTACAATCACGTTTCTACATGTATGTAGATTTAAAACAATGATACAGTACCGGTAGTTATTACACAGCTTTACCCCAGTATATTAACACATCTCCAACCCCCACCATACACATACACACGTGCCAGAATAGCAAATGGCTGGTAGATCCCTGACGATGTGCCGATATATTAATTTCATTTCAAATACCATAACCTCACTAATTCCGTATATAACGTCGACATATTTTCGATGGTTTCTAAGACTTCAAGAAAGTTTCAGATAAAACATTGAAATCAGATATACAGTAAAGTACGGTTATAACGAACTCAAAGGGACTACTAATTTTAGTTCGTTATAGCCGTAGTTCGTTATAAGCATATATACAGCAAATAGTCGGGATAAAAAAAGTAAGTTCGTTATATCCGTAGTTTACTGTATGTAAGAATTTAAGAAGTTGGAAAACGAAATCTCGGAGATTTGGTAATGCTTGAATTATTCCATATTTTTGGGCAGGAATGAGCAAGTATGTCCCACAGTCAGGAAGACAACAGACTACAAGTCTAGAGTCTCCAAGCGTCATCCATTGTGCAGTCACGTGCATGGAGCATACCAACTGCGTGACCTTCACATGGGATTCCCACCTGTCCAAGTGTTTCCACTACGAAGGAAGCTCTGCCAGCCCTAGCGGATCTGGGTTTGAAGGATTCAGCTTAGCACGCACTGAAACAACCGGAACGACCGGCTGCTGAACTAAATCAGCGTACGTTTTACAAAGCGATCTTACTGCTTAGGCAATCGTAACTTTTATTCTTTAACACTCACTTTCCCTTGGGGATTCCGGAGTGTACTTGACTCTAGTACAAGTATGACTGTCGTCAGATACGATCTGCAGTTATTGGGTTGTCAAGCTCGATGAATATCTGGAATATTGATGACTGTGTTAAACTGCATTCATGTGCTTAAAACTGACAGTCGTAGCTCAAAGGGTGCTTTGAAGAACGCTTATCTAGAGTCAAACTGGAGTCACACCTCATTTCATTTTAAACCGATATTCTTCTCCAATGGGGAATGGAAATTTAAAGGCATTCCAATATAACTTGTTGACGGATCACTAGCAGAATATGACTTTGAAATTTGAATTTGAAAATATTTAGAATGCTTATTGGGTCCAGGTACATCCGAAGTATAGTAATCAACGAATCGGGGCTGCGTCCATCATGGTTTATTCTCCCTGTGGTGATATATATAATTACACCAATCGAGTGAGTGAGTATGGTTTTACGCCGCTTTTAGCAATATTCCAGCGGAGGACACCAGAAATGGGCTTCACACATTGTACCCATGTCGGGAATCGAACCCGGGTCTTCGGCGTGGCGTGCGAACGTTTTAACCACTAGGCTACCCGACCGCCCTACACCTATCGATGTTTGTGTTAATATATCTGCCTTTATTTTAGGGTGCACGGTTCAGTACATCCGAAAGAGATTGCGAAGATGATGTCAAGAAGTTAGCAACACAGTGGTGCAAACGATTCCGGTGTAGTTAAAAAACTGATGAGCAGACAGAGGCCATACGCGAGGGTCTCAAGCTTAAGTATAAGGCAAATCCAGGAGTTTGGTGCGACGTGGGTCAGGAAAGGTTTCGCAGTTACGTGATTGTATTTGTAGATCTTGGTTACAGTAAATGCTGATTGAAAAATTGTCGGATTTGTTTTTTGCGAACACCGGGTGTCATCACTGATTTTCACTCATCCATTTCACAAATATTTTGCCTTTTATGCCACTAATGTCCAATATGTTTTTTCGGATTAACAAGATTGGTTTTTCTCTGGCGTTAACGTTTTATATTTTCGGGTGTTTGTCAAGGCATCCCTGGTTTATGTGTGAGCATGCTGAAAGAGGCTGACAAGAGTGCTCTGACAGTGGGATGCATTCGTTCTTAAGTAACATACAAGTGTTATATGGACACATAATATCTGTTAAGTTGAAATCAAGAAACGATTTTCATTTAAAGGGTGTTTGTTAATGCGACAGGACTGGTAAACAAATTAAATCAGCTAAGTGAAATTCATATACACCACTATCCACTGTATTTTATATCAAATTATTATTGTTCTAACTGGATGCGTGTATGCGTACGTGTGTGTACACGAGATGATGTGTTTGTTGTTTGTTGTTTTACGCCGCACTCAGCAATATTCCAGCTATATGACGGCGGTCTGTAAACAAATCGAGTCTGGACCAGACAACCCAGTGAATGATATCATGAGCATCGCCGACTTGGTTGATGGATGGCATCGTATCCCAATTGCGTGGATCGATGCTAATGATGTCAACCACTGGATTGTCAAAACGCTACATTAAACTCGATTTCACCTCACCTCATATTTATGTAACGTTCTGATTAGGGTATAGCTTGGGGCGAAAGATGTTCTGTTCTCAAGTTGTGTTGCATTAGATATGTGTTTTCCCACACCGGAAGTGATTATGACGCTACAGATGGTGTAAAATTGTACTGCAATGGGCATATGTCGTCTTTAACCAGAAATGATGTATGCTTTAAACTTTGTTTATGATTTTGATTTTGGAAATGTTTTATCTCGCTTTTATTTTCAGGAATAGGACTTGTATGCATGCATTGAGCAAGTGCTTTACAGATTAAAGCCAGAGGGATGGGACTAAGTTGTACCGCACTAGACAACAAAACCACGCTTGCAAAAACATAAACTAACGGGTAAAAGAAACGCCACCAAACAATCTTATGGCCTATAACAAAACAGACGCAAAATTAAGTAACAGCTGGTGTTTTATTATGAAATTTTTTTTATTCAAAAACGGTATTTGAAAATGACAACATAAAAAAACATGTACTTAAAGTTCTGCAGACACGTTTATTCCACTAGGTGCACTGTTTAGTATCCAATCACACCCGCAGAATCGACGTCGATTTCTTTTATAGTCCCGTGCTACACACATTGCTCAGCATCGGATGTGACCTCCTCCAGCAACGATGCAGGACCTAACACGCGTCGAACTGAGTACACGAGTCTCCTTACATCCTGATTAGGGATCCTACGCCATTCTTCCCTCGTCAATGGCGGCTGTTGACGTTTCCGAATCCTGCGTCCAAGTTGGTCCCAGAGGTGCTCTATGCGCGACGGGTCCGGTGATCTGGCTGGCGAAATACGGTCACGTTGTTGGCGTTCAGAAAATCGCTAGTGACTCGAGCTGTGTGAGGGATGGCGTTGTCCTGCTGAAACAGCGTCCGTGGGTGTCGTTGCAGGAAAGGCAGTACCACAGGCTGCAAAACCTCATCAATTTAATGACGTGCAGTGAGAGTTCCGTCGATGATTACCAGATCTGTCTTCTGGTCCATGCAGATGCCACCCCAGACCATGATACTACCACCTTCATAAGGCACCACTTATTGGACAAAACAACGTGCCGTCAGTTCACCACGTCGTAGGTAGATTCGAACCCGCCCATTAGACGTGAAGAGCTAGCACCTACTCTTGTCGCTGAAGAGCACTCTTCGCCAATTTCTCTGCTGCTACTGCTGTAAAGTCCTGGCCCATCTCAGTCTGTGACGTCGGTATGGAAACGTTAACGTCATGCCCTTGAAAGGTCGATAGGCACGGAGACCACACATGCAGAGTCGTCTACCAACGGTCCTTCTGCTGAATGTCCAAGTCTGTTTCCGGATGATGACGTCACAGTTTGGAATTTGGACTTTAGGTGAAGCACCCGTAAATACCGATGTTCCTGTGGTGTCGTGATCTTGGGTCTTCCACTCATCGTCCTGTCTGCAGTACTGCCAGTTTGCCTGTGACGTGTGATCCTGGCAACGTGCTCCTGCGTTGCTCCCATTTGCAACATACCGGTGGCTCTCTCCCTCTGCTCTGCGGTTAGTCTAGGCATGTTCGTTGTTTAAATCGTGTGATGAGAGAGTTCAATCCTGCTCATGTTTTATACCAATATTTCATACGGGTAACTTTGTGCACATTTTGCATTTTTTAGTGATTAAATTCACTTTTCTCGCAAATCACGTGAAGAACGGGCACATGTTCACAGGGAATAGGTAAGTTGCATTCAAGCTATGTGTTCAAATGTGTTCGTGCTGTTTGGCAAATGTGTTGAAAACTGACGACCATTATTTATTTGGTGGCGTTTCTTTTGCCCGCTAGTTTATTATAAAGTGAACACATTGTCTCTTGCAAACTTATTTTCCTTAACTCGGAACTGCCTCCGTGGATTAGTAGATAAAGTGTTTGCTCCGGGAGCGGAAGTTCTGTCTGGTGATTAAGTGTTTATTCAGGTCTGTTGGACAGCATGTGTGCATCCAACCCGATGGGGATGTTGTCATATTATATTTTGGTTTTTGTTCGACCTGTGACTATCCGGGTTGAGGATAGGTCTTCAGCAACCCATGCTTGCCGTAAGAAGCGACTCTGATTGTCGTAAGAGGCGACTTACGGGATCGGAGGATCAGACTCGCTGACTTGG